CCCCCACCACCACTGAAAGTTAAGGATGCCGAGTATGGAAGCTGGAGTTGTAAGTAGAAGAGAGAATTTTTATTTAATAGTCTGGAGATTTTGCTGTCACTCCTCGGAAGGGGCGGGTCTGCAGATCCATGGAAAAAAATAGGAAGTACTATGGCCTTGAGATAAATAGGAACCAAATTCCCTTTCTATTGCCAAGGCTCCCACGGACCATGTCTGCTAAACTACACAACATTAAACATGTAGATATTTTGGTTACTTGAGGCAGTGCCAAAAAACTGAATTTATGTATTCTCAAGGGAAAGAATTCAATTTACCTAATTGAGTTAAATTAAAATGATATAATATGATAACACACTGAATAACTGAAAACAAAAAAGGAACGACAATGATCTACGTGACTCAGATGTAAGGGCCTCTCCTAAAAATTGCTTTTTTATGGATGGCAAATTGTTAAAGCAATGCTTATTAACATGATTTATCACCCTTTTAAAAGACCTGTTTTGCTTTTCCCATTGTTGCTGCTTCTGTTTTGTAGAATGGAGACCTTATTGTAGGAGGACCTGGAAGTTTTTACTGGCAAGGTATGATCTGTTAGCACAGAAGAAACGCCCACTTGTTACTAACAAGGAAATGAAGCACAAATAGCATGAAATACTGACTTTTTATTATGCTAATTTTGTATCAATATTCATAATTTCTCAAAATGAATGACACATCATTTCCAATTGTACTTTGTTATTAAAGGATATTTTAAGAGATTCTGTTGCAAATTAAATTCATTTATTCACCAAATATTTATTGAGGCTATGCCAGGCTTTGTGTTAAATTCTGGAGATAATGATAATGAGTAAAGATAGACATTGTTCCCACCTTCACAAGGTCACTATCTGGGGAAAGATGCAGGCATTAATGCAATAGGCACACAGTTCCTGAGAAACTGCAGGCCTGATCCTGATACCCACCATGAAGGAAAGGCATGTCCTCATGGGGCTGTGAGAGTGCAGGCGATTTCTCCCTGTGGCTGCATGCAGGTGTGTTTTGTCTTCTGAACACTGGCCCACAGGAGGCTGAAATACAACCTGTGCTCTGTTTAGGGGGCTCTAAACCTGCTCCCAGGTGCAGGGTAGCATCTGCCAGAGGGGATGATGTTTTCTAATACTTGTAAAGACGTTACACAGGCTGGCGGCTGCCCTAAAGTCAACATATTTGGAAATAAACAACCCTACACTAAGATCTGAACCCTGAGTAGAAGGTAGCCAGGTGAGAGAAGGGACTGTGAGAAGTTTCTGTGGTCCAAAGTTGTGCAGCCAGGTCAGGTGGAGGGAAGCCTGGGTGACCAAAGTCAAGAGAGTGGGGAGGAGTTACTGAGTGTTGTGGGGTGTCCCCACTGGCCACGCTGGGCTGGCAGGCCGAGGTAGCAGTTTTTGTCTTTATCCTAAAAACAGTGAGAAATCCCTGCTGGAATGTAGGAGTTTAAGTAGATGGCTTTAGCTAGAGTAAATGTTTGTTGTTTGACTTGAAAACAATGGGAATCCATTGGAGAAGTGTATGCATGGGATGCTGTGATGGGATTTGTGATTTGAAAAGGTCACTCTGGCTGCAAGATGAAAAATGGATGGGATGTTGGCCAAAGTGAAGTATCAGCAAACTAGTTTTCAGGTTATAAGCCAGTTAGAAGTTTATATGGTAAGGTAGCTGTAAGGTCCAGATGAAGATGTTTGCTTCTTAGAGTGGTGATAGTACAGACTGAGAAAGAGGAGAAATCTGAGAGATACTTTATAGGCAAAATAAACAGCCTAGATGATGAATTGGATATATGTGGGTGAGGGAAGAGAGTATGTCAAGATGATGTTTCTAACTTTTGCAACTGAGTGGCTAGAGGTGGGTTCCACTTGTTCAGATGGAGAGAGCTAGAAGAGAACAGGTTGGAAAGGGAAGATTGTGAGTCTGCTTTTGGTTATGTTGAGTATGAAAATGTTTGAAATAACCAAAATTTTTCACAAAAGTATTTAGATGTATGGGACTAAACTCAGAGAAGACATCTAGGATAAAATAAGAACTTGTGTCACATGCATACTGGTGATGCCTGAAGCCATGGATGTGGATGGGCTGTCTGAAAAGAGATTACAGAAAATAGAGACTGAATTTTAAAGTTTAAGACAAAGATAGTACTCTATCTTTGAGACTATGAGAGAGATGAATAGTTGAGTGAGGTTTATTTTTTTTAATAAGAGACCTGTTCATGTTTAAAAGCTAATGGAAAAGATCCAAGAGAGATGGATTTATGGAAGAGCTTACATGAAGTTACTGTCAAGCTTAATTTATACACATCCATCTATGAACAACAAATAATTAGCATTTCAGTCTTTAAAAATTATTTTGCAAACTGAAGAATTTGTGTAGCAGATAGATAAAAAATAAAAATTCTGTTTAAAAAAATTTTCTTCTAATTCACTTGATTAATTTCACATATTTTTCCTTTCCTTGAGTTGGAAGAATGTCTGAAACAGATGATTTGCTGAAAATTAGCCATATCAAGGGGATATAGAAGCATTTGTCTGAGAGAGATAATTTAAAATTTTATTCAGGCTTAAGATGATAATGTTTGTAGGAGCAGCTAAAGGAAACAAGCAAAGGCAGTATGTATGTGGGAGGATGGAATGGAGTATTTAGCTTTAACCCAGAGAAAACTGGCAAATTCTACAGCCACTGTTCAGAAATTCATGTGTAAATACCATTGTCTTAATATCAGAATGTTTCTTTCAGGCAGTCACCTGGAAATATTTATGGCCTGATTTGACAGTTGTATCCTTTTTGGACTTCAAATGGAAAGACTGTGAACTGTCTGTGAATTCCCAAAGAATAATCTGGCTTTAAAATTAATATTAAATGTTAGTCTCTTGAATGCCTGTTTTCTCCAGTTATCTCCCAAAGAGCATGAGATCACACTTGTCCCTTAGATGTCCATAAAAAATAAGGGAATACACAGAAATCATAGCAGAAAAGTGCTGGCCATCTTTTGAATACTTATCCACCCAATACAATCATATCTCAAGACCTCTTAAAGTGACTTTGAGAAAGATTATCCAGACTTCTTATTGTACCAATGTTGGTGGCCCTGGATTCCTTTTTTTGCTAAAATTCTGGATGTCACTGGACCTTGTTGCCTCTCATTGTCATAATTCTATACTCTATTTATACATTTTAGCATAAAAAGTAAATGCTTCAGAAATTATGTAATTCCTTCCTTTAACATAGCTGATACATTTACAATCTATTAATCAAGTGATTTAGATTTAATATATCTGAGTTTTTTTTTTGAGGACACAAATGTCTTATTAGAATGCCAAAGAAGACCTTGGTTATAATGTCAAATATCCTAACAGCAAAAACAAAAACAAAACAAAAAAACCCTTAGAGAACACATTCAGGCTCTTTGAATCTCAGTTTCCCCATATGTAAGGAGTCACATCTTGTCTAGGTGATGTTTCTTCCAGCTAGCAAGTTCTAGACTAAAAATTTAATCACATAAATTTTACCTACATGTTTCTTTCCTCTTGGACATTTTTGGCAGTAGAGGGAGTATGTTTGGTGAAGGCATCAGAATTCAGACAATCATGTAGTTCTTGGGTCTTTTATGAAGATTAAAAAGCTCTACCTCAGTGTAACTTGGAGTTCTCATGGGAGAGGGACAATCATTCCAAGACGGTTTTCAAGGGAGCATGTGTTGTTCAGACGTTCCATATCTGCCGAGGGAGGACCTGCCTCTTGCACTCATTCAATTACTGTATTAATTTGCTTGAACACAGGTCAGGTGATCACTGCCAGTATTGCAGATATCATTGCAAATTACTCCTTCAAGGATATTCTAAGGAAATTGGCTCGAGAAAAACAGACAGAAGTGGCTCCAGCTTCTTACGATGATAGTTACCTTGGTGAGATCTATTGCTCAAAACCTTTGTGGTTTCTCAAAAGACAAATGTATTAAATGTAGATGTAAATTTTATTCTTCACTTGATATTATTTGGCATCTTGTGCAAATTTGATTTTCTTATTAGCTTAAGATGGACTCTTCTTTTGATTCAGGCATGCTATATCACCTACATGATTTGACAGCTACTTTATGGCTCTTTAATAGAACTTTCTCTTTTCAAATTCAACAACTGTTTTTCATTTTTAAATTTTCAATAAGTTGAACTAGATGACTACTTCCTAGACACAAAACATCGGCCTCAGCCCCAAAGTCTGTATCTTATTTATTGGGAGATTGTGACCATACAGTGTCTTGCCATTAAATGTTTTGCCAGGAGTAGCCACTATGTCTTAGCAGCGCTGCACTGTGCAACAGGAGGAACACCACATGGGCCTTTCCCAGTTTTTAGAGCAAGGACAAGAGACTTTCCAGTTGCTACCATGGTCTCAAATTTATTATGGGCCAAACACACAGTACTTCACCACTATTGCTTCCCACCTTTGGTATACCAGCAGCATTTTGATTACTTGTTGAATTTTTTTTTTAATTGTAGTTATATTTTGTCACCTACCTCACTTTAGAGCCAAGTAAAACTTGTGGAAAAATCATTATTAAAAAAATTAGGAAGTATTCTTATTGATGATCAAAATAGCAAAACCTGAGCACAGAAGATACCTTCAGAATATCATTTCTGAACCTGATCAGTCATCCACCTTAACATGCAGCAGCCGCCATATACACTTTACACATTTAGGAAGCATTTCTTTAAATAAGTGAGCTCAGAATTTGATTGTGTTGCCATGCTCAACAGTAGGAGATCTATCATGCTTCCAGGATTTAGTACAAAGTGTTCATATTGGTTTGATTAATTTTTCCCTTTATAGACCCTTGAACTTGCATGTTCTAAAACTTGTCAAAATTTCTGAATAAAGTAATACTATAGTAGTTCTTTCATTTTTTTTCTAAATACAGCTTATTTATAAAGCCTTCAAAATGTGATTAGTTTGTTTCTTTTCTTTAAAATAGGTTATTCAGTTGCTGCTGGGGAATTTACGGGAGACACACAGCAAGGTGAGAGACATTATTGAGTGTAAGTCATTTATAAAGCCTGGGGGAAATGGTAAAAAGACCTAAAAAGCCCCCAAAATGTGATTTTATTTGCTACGCAAAATGTATGTGAATGGCATCCCAGAATGATATACATGGTAATATTTTGTAGAAAAACAAACAAAAAATACAATAATATTTTTAAGTCTCAAGTTTTCATAAGACTAAATATTAATCTAAGTAATAGATTATATATATCAATATATAATGAATATATCATACCAATATAAAAGCTAGTCAAGCAATAAAAAATTAGTCCAGCAGTCCCACATTAAGGACCATTAGGTGGCTTAGACAAAAGTCATGCTGTTAGCAGCAGATTGAATGCGAGAAATCAGGATCCCTCATCTTGGATTTCTGGGCTCTCACATTGGACATGTTCAAACTAAACTCTCCACCCAACTCCAATCCAACATCTTTGCATTATTTCCTTTTCCCTTTGACATGCCCAAACCCAAAATAACAGAATTCACTAATCCCAATTCTCTTGAAAGCCCCTCCTCACCTTCTGTCCTTTGCTTCACTGTGGATGTCTTCACTGGTTTCAGTTCTCTGATGCTGGAGCCACTCTCATCTCCCAGGGAACAAATGCTACTTTTTTTTTTAGGTCTGTTTCAAATATTGTATCCTCCAGAAACCCTTCTTTAGCTTCCTTCTGTAAAGTCCTATATCATGTCATTTTTGTCTCTCCTGAGGCATTTACTATTCATTTATTCATCAGATATTTCTTTGAGCACCTATCACGCACCAGGCAATGTGTTTTAAGTGTTGAGCACACAGTGGTGAACAAATGGTCCTTAATCTCAAGGCTGACATTCTAGCAGGGCTAACAGACATTAAACAATGAACATGAAATACTTGATTAAAAATTGTAGTAAGTGGTAGGATAAAAGTTCTAAACATAGAACTAATCCCCTTCATGAGGGCTCTACCATTATGACCTAATCACCTCCTAGAGGCCCCACCTCCTCATACCATCACACTGGGGATTTGGTTTCAACTGTGAATTTCCAGGGTACACAAACACTCAGACCATAGCAATAGCAATCATATGCAAGACAATAAATGGTAGCTTTACTTTACTAGTAATATTTACTGAATGACTCAATCATCGATCAATATTTGCCATTTTCCATCGTATCATATGAACGTTAACCACTTTTCATTAACATATTTTAACTAATTCATAAAGAATTAAGAATAAATTAAGTATGGCCATCTCTGAGAATCATCACAGCTCTTAATGGTTTCATGTTGACATGACATACAAAATGGAAACTCATAAAGAATAAAATATTCTTTATACAGTAAGGTAAAGGTTGAAAAATTTTTTTCTTTAACAGAACATTTTTCTTTTAAATACAAGCTAATTCTTAACTCTCTTTCCATCATTTTTTTCTTCAAGATATTAAAAGACAATCGATTGTGGTTGCTCAAGCCCAAAACCTTGGAAATCAGCCTTGGGCCTTGCTGCTTTTCTCACACCCTGTCCACATCTAATCCAAGTTCTACTGAGTAAACTCTCAAAATACAGCCGGAATCTATACACTTCTGACCTCTTGCACAGCTTCTATTCCGATCTAGGTCTCCAGCTGCCCTGACATTATTAGCTTCCCAACCGGCCTTCCCACTTTATCTGTGCCTTCTTGTGACCTGCTCTAAGCCCAGCAGCCAAAGGACTCCTGCAGAAACAGAGGCCAGAGCATGTAACCTCTTTGCCTCAAGTGGTTTCTCAACTCGTTTAGCCTAAAATCCAAGTTTGCACAATGACCTAAAAACTCTAATCACAAGGCCGCTGATTACCTTGACCTGGGCTCCCAACCTTTACCCCTCATTCTCTCTCCTCCAGCTACTCTGGTTTCCTGGCTGTTCTTTTGACACCCTTCTACCTCAGTACCTTTGCACTCACTGTTCCCTCTGACTTGAACAGACTTCCCAAATCTCCATAATATTTACTTCCTCACTTTCTTCAGTCTTTACTCCAAAGTAACTGTCTTGCTAAGTCCTTCCTGGCTACCTTAATAAATCACAAGCCCTTCTATACCCCAACTCCAGCATTTCCTGCTTAATTTTCTGCTTTTTTTTTACTGCTTAATTTTTCTCTGCTATGCTTATGCCTTCTAATATACCACCTAATTGACTCTATTTTCTAAGTTGACTGCCTCTTCCAACTACAATATGAGCTCCATAAGAACGGGGAATTTTGTCTGTTTTATTCACTACTGTATATTATGTCTGCCTATACATATTTACTGAGTGCATGAATGAATATACAACTGAAAAGTCCAACATCTAACCCCTAGTGAATCTTCTCTGATTATTAATGCTCAGAACATGGGTGCCCAACTCTGTTGCTACACAGCACAGCAGACAAAGTTGATGCTAGAATTTGTTCTGTACCTTTGGAAGTGGGATTGTAGGGAGGGAGATTTCAATAGAAGGGGACTCTTGTCTAGGCCCTTCTTATTTAAATTAAACTAAAATTTTAACTCCAATGACTAAAAGGATAGTTTAGATTTATAGAAATGAGAGCTGGAAAGATCTTTGGAAACCAGTGATTCCAACTCCCACCTATTGCAGGTGACTGGAAAAAATTAGGTGAAATGACTCATGCCAGATATATGGCAGACCCAGGTGTAAAACCATTATTCTCTGAATCTAGAGCTAGATCATTGTGCACTGAGTTACGATGGTCCTTTCCCTCGGAGTTGCTTTGCCTCCTCTGTGTCTGTTAGTGAAGCTTCTTTCCTGGAGTATCCTTGACTGCCAGGTTGCCCCCTAATTCTGCTGCCAACAGTTACAGGGAGACAGATTCATATCATTTATAATATTTGGTTTTCCTTAGGTAACTGAAATCATCGTAATATGTTAGTGTGACAAAAGCTGTACCTTTTACATTAGTACAAAACATGTCACCACAGTCAAGACTGGAGGAATCAGAGTAAAAGGCCTAACTAACTGCAAATCATATGCAGACCTGCAAAGCCAGGCTTATGTTCTAGAAGCAGAAAACATGGAGACTTGTGATGGAGACAGGGAAGTCCAAAAATATGACTTTTCTGTTTCCTATCATCTACTGCAGAAGAAAAAGCAAATGCAAGACCATGACTTCATACCTCCAACTCTCCACATGACGGCTACTCAGTTAAAAAGCACTAGCTTTAACTGATTTGTTAGACCTTGAAAATATATATGTAATTCCCTTTCTAAATGGCTATTTTTATTCCCAGAATTGGTTGCTGGTGTTCCAAGAGGAGCACAGAATTTTGGATATGTGAGTACTGAGAATGCATTATAGGATATTTTCTTAGATATGCAAAGAAATGGTTACACACAACTTTTAAATCTTTTAAAATGCCCGGTCATAATAAGCCCCTATGGAACTACATTTGTTTGCTTACTATAAAGGCAGGAAAATAATTGAGGCTTTTTTTCCTTATCCATGTACAGGATCAGCTACACAACTTGTGGAACCCAGTGCTAAATGTAAATGCAGGGCGCTCTGTTAAAAATTATTAAGAATTTCAGGATTGCAATAGCTGGGCATTAAACCAAAGAGGCGTCCATCTGAGGGGGAACCCTTTGTGGCTGCAAAGGTCACACACCCATGTGTGTGTGATTAATCTAGGCATATTTTCAGAGGATACCACTGTTGATATGATCAACATTTTAATATGTCTCATAAAGAAAAAAATAATAAAATCAATGGTTATTTCACTAGTGTATTCGTTTTCCAGGATTACCGTAACAAATATCCACAATCTTGATGGCTTAAAGCAACATAAATTTATTCTCTCACAGCTCAAGAGGCCAGAGTCTGAAATCAAAGTGTCAGGCAGGTCACACTCCCTCCACTGCATCTCAGGGAAGATCCTCCTGGCCTCCTAGCTGCAGATGGCCCTGCCTTCCCCTGCTATGTGTCGGTGCGACTCCAGTCTCTGCCCCCGTCTTCTATGGGCTTCCTCATCTCTTTTTCTTATAAGGACACCAGTTATTGGATATAAGGCTCTCTCAAAGCCTAGGATGATTTCAATTCAGGTTCCTTATTTCATCTGCAAAGACCTTATTTCCAAATAAGGTCACCTTCTGAAGTTCTGGGTAGACATAGATTTTAGAGGGATATAAGCAGTTGCCATGAAATTAGGCAAAGAAAATAAATAGACCTTTGAATTTTAAATAATGTTTATTTTTTAAAGGTCTAGTAAACACATAATATCTGTAGATTTTAGGTTGTTTGAGTAAAATTAAAAGTAATATTTTGGCTAAATGGATAGCATTTTAAAATTTCACTTTTTTTCCCTTTGCAAAGAGCCATAATCATCAATTTCTCATAATAACATAACATAAACACAGAAATGAATTTAGACAAAAATCCTGATTAGGTCAGTTAACTAACCATCAGTTTCATTGCTCTGGGCATTCTTTAATTTCTATTACCCTTCTTCAGATTGGTAAGTATGGATTTTGTCTGGAAGTACCCCAGACTTAAACATAAACAAAAGTTCAATTGGACTTTTTAAAGATCATTCTTACGGGCTTACATTTTTGTTGTATTACATATAGGTAACCATTTATCAACCCTTCCTAAAAGTCTAAAAATGATTTAAGTTGCAATTTAAAATATTTTCTTCAATTCTATGCCAAATGATGTAACCTATCTAATTTCTATGATTTCAGGTTTCAATCATTAACTCTACAGATATGACCTTTATTCAGAATTTCACTGGTGAACAGGTGAAGGCATTTTAATATCAAATAATGTTAGTCGGTACTAATAGTATATTCTAATATTTGTATCATTTATTCTTTCAAAAAATAAATATTTACTGAGCACCACCTACTGTGTGCTGGAAACTGTTCTAAGCTCTAGGAATATTCCCATGTGTCAGATAGACAGGATCCCAGCTGTCATGCAGCACTGTGGGGGAGGTGCCAAAATGCTACTAACTGGTGGGATCAGAGAACAACCCTATTATATCAAAGCCCTGTATGTAGTGTGACTGGTGTGAATTCTGGTTAGTTAGCCTTACCTCTGAGAAGACACAGGGTTCTTGTAGGCCCCACTGTACTGGTTGGAGTCAATGGGCCTGTGCTCTGCATCCTTTCCTCCCTGGGACTGAGCCCTCCCCTGCTCCCAACATAGTAGGGAGGTTGACAAGCTATCTGGTTCTGGTCCCTTCCGCCCAGGGACTAGCTATTGCTCCTTACACACTGTCACCAGCTGAGGTCTTATTATGAATGTGTCAGTGGCCTGAAAGCAAGCTGCTGTCATCTTCCTGACCTAACAGGACCTAAAGTCACACTTCATCATCCACTATGGAGGTTTTCCTGGGTATCGCAACTTGTTGAAATTTGCCACATGTCTTTAAACAATGAATGTGGTACTGCTGTCAAAGGAGCCAGCTGTGATTTGAATAGCTCCTCTGGGCAACCGGTTTTCTCTGACCATCAACTCAGATTGCTGAGCTTCTAGCAAGCCCCACATATGAATCTGGCCAAGTTACATCTTGGCCTTCCGAATCATGGTTTAAGGTCCCGAGATGCTTGACTCTTAGCTAGAAATATAAATTTGGAATTACAAATTTGTCAAGAAATTCTGATTCATAGAATTTTTAATGAACACAGACTGTTTTTGACATTCTCCCCAACTGGAGGGATTTTCCCCCCAAAATGGTGCTTTAGTCTCTCCATTACTCTGGAATATTCAACACAGCATTTAATGTCTGTCATGATACTTTTGTGATCTATATGGGGAAATAACACTGGGGTGAAGCTGGATGAATTTATAAATTTTGAGCCACTATTCCCAAGTGGTGATGGTTTAATGAAAATCTGGCAAGACTTCTTTTTTATCTAGATATGTTTTACATTTGTATCACTAGAAGCTCTTTAAATATTGTTAAATTTGGCCTTTCAATAACTTCTTGTCCTCAGTACTACCTAATTCTGCGATCTTGAATCTCAGAACTTAATACATAAATGATGAAATTCCTCTGAGTGAAGGCCACATATACCACACAGGAATAAGAATTCACCACCATGTTTGGAATAGAGAAAAGAGGTGGAAAAACTGAATTATTGCATAACACCTGTTAAGTCCTGTATTCATTCTCTCTGCAAGGAGTATCTGGCACCTGGCACCTACTTTGAGCTAGACAGTCAGGAAGAACAGATAGAAGAGTGAACACAGGCCAAAGTTTCCTTCTGTGAAGCACACTTTCTAGTGGATTATAGGCTGATTAAATTAGTATATGATGAGAGGCTAAATCAGCTAAAGCACTGGATGGCAGAATATGGAAACAAAAAATCTTGGCAAGATGAAACTATGGGCCAAATATGAAAAAATTAAACATCTTGAAAATACAGGTTGAAAAGCTAAACTTAAAAGTGACGATGTAGAGAGATTATGGCACCCTATTTAAACTCAAGAAACTTAGTTGTCAATAAACTCAGTATGCAGTGATACTGAGACATGATTTTGCCCAAAATTAAAACCCTTTTTGTGCATCAATAATGATACAAGGAGCCAAAAGCAGAGTGCAAATCCTTCTTAGCTCTCCTGTCACTCAGAGGGTATCATCTTTTCTTTGGTATCCCATGTGGTATCTCTAAGAAAAAGGGGCCAGGATGGTGATCCAGCTGAAAATACATCCATTTGAGGCTTCATATGGCAGTGGAATTCATTTTATCCTGAGGCTCAAGATTATAAAACTAGATAGGATTGAGCACTAGAAGTTACAGAAGGACCAATTTTAGCAAAGAACATTCTAATAATTGTGTCCACAAATTGAATGGTCTCATTGTTGAATATCTCCAGAGGATGTCCAAGCAGATGTCAGGGGTGTTAAGGGGAAAATTATGCACTGGGTCAGGGGTTAGACTGAATGACTCCAAGACTCTGTCCATATCCAAGAGTCTATGAATTTAAGTGCAAAAATGTGCTGCAATGAGATTAATCATTCAAGGAAAATAAGAGATGACTATAAAAATGATTTTTTAACACAAAATTTTTTGTCTTATGGTTTTCCTTTGCAGATGGCATCTTATTTTGGATATACAGTTGCAGTATCAGATGTTAACAATGATGGGTAAGTCTATAAGAACTTCCTCACTCACCATATATTTTATTCATTCATAAAGATGTTATATTTTTTCCCTCATGAAATACATCCTGCCATACTTCCTTCATAAGATAAGAGGCTCTCTTGTTTTCACTTTTTTTGGTTTAGAGCTAGAATATACATCTACATTTGCCATAGTATTGTATGTCTTTGCTGAGATTTTCTGTATCTGCCTCTTCTAGAAAAGGACTATTTCACTTTGCTTACTTTTAATTTTATGAATTGAATAGTTCTTGGACATTCAAAATCCATAGCCACTGGAAAATTTGCTTATCTGTCTCTCTTCATCCCTTAGCACATGAATCATTCATAAAATATTTGCAAACAAATAAAGTATTTTTCTCCTGACATTGCTTTATCCAACATACTAGTTGCACCCAGGAAGAAGAGGAAATAATAATGTTATTTCTTCAGATTATGGCAGTGAGTTTGGACCAAAAAGCATGAAATATTATTGTTGTGTTTAAGTCATTATTTCAATAATAAATTATTATTAAACATCTCTTTGATTCACTAAAAGCACCTATGTGGCAGATAAAAAAATGACTAAATAAAAAAAATTGAGATGAACTGATTATCTTTCCAATAAATATTGTTGGAGTACCTACAACCTGTCAGGCATTTTTCTAAGTACCCAGAATATGTCAGTGAATAAGGCAGAATAGGTCTCTGGTCTCAGAGAGCTCACAGTTTTGTAGGAGGCATATATTTGAAAAATTCTGACTATGTTCCAAGATCTGGGCTAAGTACTTTAGATACATCATTGATAGACATTAGCTGTGACTTTTTTATAACTAGAAATGCACTTCATGTAATGTATGATTGGAGAATAATTTAGTAATGTTTGTACCTTTTGGAAAATATCTTATTATTCTTTCATTCAACATATATGTCTTGAGCATCTGTTATTCACTAGCATGGTTCTAGGTGCTGGGATATGGCAGAGAACAGAATTAAAATTCCTCACCCTCATAAAGGTTATACTACAGTTGGGGGATGGGAGCCTTAGACAAAAAATAAATAAGCCAAGAAAAGCGTATGTTAGACACTGATGAGCGCTAAGTAGAAAACAAAAAATTGAAGGGCTGAAAGTAATCAGGATATCCTTTAGTAGGTAAAGATAGAAGTACACAGTGTTACATCCAGACAAAGGAATATTACTCAGCACTAAAAAGAAATGAGCTGCCAAGCCATAAAAGACATGGAGGAGCTTTATATGTGTATTACTAAGTGAAAGAAGCCAATCTGAAGAGGCTTCATACTGTATGAATCCAACTATATGACATTCTGAAAAGGTGGAATATGGAGACAGTCAAAAGATCAGTGGTTGCCAGGTGTTAGTAGGGAAAGGAGGAATGAATAGGTGGAGCACAGAAAATTTTTAAAGCAGTGGAACTATTCTGTAGGACACTACAATAATGGATCCATATTGTTATACATTTGTCCAAACCCACAGAATGTCCAACACCAAGAGGGCACCCTGATGTAAACTATGGACTATGGGTGACAGTGATGTATCAGTGTAGGTTCATCGATTGTAGTAAGTGTCCTGCTCTGGGGAGGGATGTTGGCGATGGGGGAGGCTCTGCATGTGCAGGGGCAGGGGTATATGGGAACCTAACCTACTCAGTTTGAACCTAAAGCTGCTCTGAACATAAAGTCTATTAATTAAATTTACAAAAACAAAATCAGAAAGAGGATAGGGAATATTTGGAGGGGTGCGATTTTGAATTATGTAGGGGGAAGACCTCGGTGTCAAGGGTACAGCTGAGGAAAGACTGGTGGAAGGTGAGGCAGCCAGCCATGAGGACATATGGGGAAGAGTGTTCAGATTCACCGGAAGGGAGCTGCTGTTATATTCAAGAAACATCAAAGAGGCTTGGAGAGGTAGCAGTGGGGAGTGGCTCATGAAGGCTTGTGAGCCACTGGAGGATTCTGAGCAAAGGAGTAGCCTGCTCTGGCCTTTGTTTCAGCAGGCATGCTCTGCCTTTGGGGTCTCCATGGCCTTCTGGTAGCCCACTACCATAAGCCATGTGAGGCAGGACAGTGGCTTGGGCCAGATCAATAGCAGGGGCAGGAGGTAGAAGTGGTTGTATCTCAGTACGCTTTGGAGGTATATTTCAATGCCAATCATATCCTGGTAGCAGCTAATTTAAAATTAAATTGCTTTAATCTCAGCTAAATTGTGAAAAGAAAGTCTCACTAAGGAACACCACTTCACAATTGCCAACCCGGATGAACTGTATTTATTATCAGAGGCTTTTAGTAATTTAGAAAGAGAGTAGCCAAAGAACTTGAGCCTAAAACATGGCATGTTGTCCAAATTTAGGAAGTCCATTCTTTAGTGAAAACAAAAAACACCACGGTGGCCTTTGGGATATGCATACGCACATTTCGCTGAACAGATGGTGACCAGCAAGCACAAGGGCCTCTCTTCTGGGAGCCACGCAGCATGCACTAGGCCTCAATTAACTCAGCGTACCCTTCCATAATACACATCTTGAATCCCTTCCACTTTCCCCAGTTTAACATATGCCCTGCAGAGCGTGATCTCCTTCCTGGAAACACATTTGTTCTAGTCTATAGCAAAATTCAGTGACAACGTTTCTAAAACATTTTTTTTGCCATGTTAAGAAAAAAAGAAAAAAACTTGTGAGAAAAGGACCTCATTGGTTTCCTGCTGATTCATGTGTGGTAGTAACACACATGAATTTTCCAGTGATAATTTATACATTCTTGATGTTCTAAATTGCTATGCACGTTTTCTTTTTTATTAGGTGGTATATTCTGAATTTTAGAATGCACTGAAAAAATACATCCATTATCTTAATATTACCATTCTTAAAGTGCCCATAGATTCTCAGTCTGTATATAATTTCCTGTTTAAATTACCTAGAGGCTATGTAAATTCAAGGTTCTATTATAAATGAGTAAGTATGGAAGCCACTGAGAACCCTTCATCCCAGACAGGCAACTCACGTGACGTCTGAGATTACAAAAATGAAGATATAATTTACCATCATCTCTGTAGCACCTGTGTTTCTAGAACTATCAATTGATATTATTGACTTTCAAATAAACACAAACAGGGAAAACCTGGCTTCTGGTGTTTCTAGATTTATACTTGATCCCAGGACAGGGGCCTGAAAATCACTAATAGCAGTAACAGCCATGCCCTCACCTCCCTGGATGAGTACTCCTCCCTAGGGAAGTTACACACCACCCACCAGGGAAGAGACATACAACTGCAGTCCCTCCAAAATCATAGCAGAACAAGAAGAGAGGCAAATCTTGTGTTTGTCAGTGATGTTTCCTAAGCTCCTGTAATGGCTCCATATCAGGAAACATGGCTTCATTTTGAAAAAGAGTGCTTTTGTCCCTCTCAATTTCTGACAAGATTTCTAGCAGAGATCCTCAGAATGCATGGAATTTGCAGCAAACATGGATTCCCTATCTCAAAGTTTTCCTGAATTGCATATATTTGGTCTCCAAAGTTTGTTAGTGGTTTCAAATGCAGATATCTTTATTCTCCACTGAAACTATTGTACAACCTAAAATAACTAGTAAGCAACACAATTTTATCATGCATGATTAGCATGTTTTCCTTCCTCTCAAACTGCCTTCATGTATAATACATCTGACAACATAGGACCATCCGTACTTAAACCAGTGAAGCTATCTAAAATTTTGAGGCACAAAAGTTAAATGAATTAATTGTCTAACATAACCCACTAATTACTAGGGAAGGTCTTGGTTAGTTCCTAGACCTTCTGCCGAATTACCCAACACATCTTTTATATTATATACAGAGAACTCTTTACTAAGATCTATAAAATACCTAGTAGGGAAAAAATATATAATTTCAGTTTTCAAGGGCTCATAAACTATAAGTATTAGGAATTTCCAATCTAAAAAGTGAGCAAAATGACCAACATGTCTCTCTCTCACTTACTTTTAAACTGGGAAATGGAATAAATTAATATATTTGTCACTGAAGAAACCCAATAACCTTTGTATATATCTTTTTTAAATAAAAGTTGCATATATTTAAGGTATACAACATGATGTTTCGATATACATATACATAGTGAAATGCTACATCAAGCTAATTAATATATCCATCTATATGATCCATCTATTACATAGTTACTTTGTGTGTGTGTGCACATGCACACAGTAAAAGCACCTGAGATCTACTCTTTCAGCAAATTTCCATTCAATACAATATTTTAACTACAGTTCTCTTGGCTATAACATAAGTCTCTAGATTTAATTCATCCTAAATAACTGTAACTTAGTACCTTGGACCAATATCTCCCCATTTCCCCCAACTCCCCACCACCACTGGTAACCACCATTTTACTCTTTCTTCTATGTATTTGGCTTTTTAGATTCCACATATATATCTACACACATATACATATATGTAAAAACATATAGATACAATTTATATACATATCTGTATATAAATATCCATATATATATATAGATTCCAATAACTTTAAATAAGGGTTGTAGTAGAAGAATAACATATGTGCTGGCTGATGTGCTTATAATAAACATAAAATCATAATTTCAAAGTTATTTCTACCCAAAGAACTTAAAAAAAAAGAATCTCTTCAATGATGCTAAAAACAACTGACTGATGAGAAAAAATTCAGTTATAGATTTTAGTTTCATGGCATATAAAAAAAATCAGTTTGATTAAATTAAAGATAGCCACACTAGTTCACTGCATTTTGCTGAGTCATTAGTTGTGATTCCCAAATAATTTTACAGAGCTGGAATTCCTACAATTTCTTAAAAATTCACAAAGCCTTTTCTAGCTTTCCCAGCATTTATCAGTAGTTAAAGAATTATCAGTGTGCATTAATTACCCAGCAGAGTTCAGTACTAAAATTGAGACTTAATTCCCATTTTATGCCCAAATTCCTAATTTCCAATAACCTTTTTTTCCTAGGCCTTCATCTTTTAAACCCTGAATCTGCAGTGACTCAGAATAGGATTAAGAACATCATTTGGATAGTTGATTGTTCACGGTTCAGAAGTTAGGACTCCCCACGTTTTGTAGGATTGAACCAGACTTTCCTTTCTCTAGCCAAAAGAGAATTAAGTACTATAGTGCGTGAGACTACCCAGTGAACACTGTTTGACAGCGCATGTGATCTTCTCTATCTGCTATGTAAAAAAAGCAAGGTCCCTACAAATGCTCCAAAATCTCAGCATCAGGGGGAAAGCATGTCACTAAGTAACATAATCAAATAAGTAAATTGGTGGGAATTTTCCCCAATATTTCTTTACTTAAAAAATCCCAGGTATTATATGAGTGGACTCCAAAAGTTTAGATCAAAGAATCACACACATGCTGATTGGTGGCTGATATTGCTAAGCCTGTGATTGTTTTGAAAATATAAACAAGCTGATGAAATTAACTTCTATTTAGTTATCTTAAGATAACTATAGCTACAAACTCTGTCAACATAAACTGTTAGGAATTTCTGGACAAACTTAACAAACGGAGATGGTACTTTTCATCTTAAGCCTAATCAAACAAATCGGTTTCTTTTCTTATGGTTTTTTAAATTTATAATATTTACACTATTTCTGAAATTCACAGAATTAAAATTTAATCCATTGGATTGTTTCTAGCTAGCATCTGCAGGGCCAGAGGAGCTAAATGTAAAGAAATTCTTAGCAGTTAATTTGAGCATTTTAGAGAAAATTTATTTGAAAGGAAACAGCTTTGGGTAACTGATTTGTGCTAGATTTAGTCCAAGTATGTTCTCTCATACAGTTATATCATTATGATTAAGTAGAAAAAAACTAGAAAACTAAAACAAAAGAAGTTGCACATTAAATTGATTTCTGTAATGTACTTGATAGTCTTTATTAGTCCTTACCTATCATAAAATAATTGAGTTGATTAGATAGCAATTCTAGTATACAATCTCTTAATATATATTATTTTAATATATAACTACATTCTGAAAATTAGTCATGGGCATTAGCATGCAATATGTTTACTGGGAAATAAAGAAACTTAGAAAAGCTTGTATGTTAAATCAATACATTAACACCATTTAGCTATAGAAAACTTGAATTTAGATTCTTCATAGTGAAGTTTCTCATAATGGGTCCTCTCATTCTGTCTATCACTATATTTATACTTTGTTTTTCAGGAAAAGATACTTTCTGTCTCAAACAACATGCGAAGAATGAGAAATTGAGCCTTGCTGTATAACATCAGAGCAGATTTAGACATAAAAAAGAGGCACAAATAAAGCCTGTCTGAATGCTATAAAGAGATGTCAAGAAAACTGTGCTTAAACATTAGACATTTAGATAAAATGAAATTTCGTCTATCTATCCTTTTATGAAATGCCTTTACATAATAACTTAGATCACCTCCAAACCAGCAAATAAAGACAGAAGATAGCTTTGAGTGACAACCTTATTCTTGATATTATTTCTTCATGATTGTCCATTTTTTAGATTAAATATATATAGTGTAACAGCCTGGGTGATACATGTATGTATTATATTCTCACAGGATGGCACCCAACTACTTATCAGAAGGTCAGTGAAAAACAGCTTTACTAATAAATATTTTAAACCTTAAACTTAAATTGGATATATTAAAACCAAGATTTGACAAATTTTGATATAGGCTAATAGTACTGGAGCATATCACTGGTTTTTCAATGATTTTTTGCCTTGTAGCCCTTAATAAGTATGATTTGACAGTGTAAGTCAGCACACAAAACTGAAACAATAGTTTCATGTAATAGTACTTACCCTTAGTTGCAACACATTCACTGTATATTTTATTATATTTGAATTCATATTTAAAAATTACTTGTCAAGACCCATTAAACTGAATTCATGATCCATTAATATGTTGCAAGTCAAGATTCAAAAACACCAGCTTAAATAATAATTATATTGTTTTTCTTAAGTGGTATTGCTCTTATAAAATAGTACTGACACTAAGTGCAAAGTATTTTGTAAGGCACATTGTACCAATTGAATCTAAGACAGTTACTGTCTCTCAACTTTTGAAGAAAACAATTATAAATTGAAAACAAATGCCTTTGTCTTTTTTTTGGCATCTAGAACATTTTAGAAGACTTACACATATCTAGGGAACTATATGTCTAAGAAAATATATCAATGCTGTCATGATACTCCAAGAGTGCAGAGATTCCTTGGATGTACTAGTCTTTCACAATGATAGGTGGAATAATTTCCCATTTATAGAACTCTGTTGGCAGTGAGAAATGTAGTGAGCCAATTGTGTCAGTCCCATGTCGTGTTTATACCCTCAGGGACCAATTATATGCCTTTGTTCCTTCTTTATAGCCTGAGAAACTGGCCCCTCAACCTTTGCAACAGAGAATGAGTGCTTTTAGACGTCTTTGAACTACAAAGCAGCAGCACACACCAACAGTTGTTTAACAAATGTCTTTCTTACTGGCAATAATAATAGCAGAAGGAGAGGCAACCAGCTTCCTGCATGAGAAGGCCAGGGGCTCAAAGAGCCCCAGTCCCTACCCTCCTCTCAGCCTGGAACACACAGCAGGATGGCAAGCAATGGACTTTTTTTTTAAGTAAATGTAATTTATAACATTTTTAAGAAAATTCTCTAAGTATAGCAATCCAACTATAATGAGAAAATACTATGTGTTCCCTTCAAGCCTGATGCCTTCATAATGTCTATCATTCACTAAACACTACTGTGTAGCCTGTGTGTATGTGTGTGTGTGTGTTCATATTTGGAGAGAAAGAGATGCACAATGCACACAAAGATAAAGACAGAGAGAGATTTAAGAGCTTTTGTATATTCTATTTTTCCAATTAAAATTACTGGCATCCCTCTGGCTGGAACCCACCTAGGCCACTCACTGTTCCCTGACTCCATCCACTCAGGAACATTTGCCTTGGCTCACAGCACTGCCACCTGGAAAGCCTGCCTCTAGATTCACCTGTCAGAATCCCACCCAGGCTCAGTGCCATGCCTGCCACAAGCCTTCCTTAGCCCTCTCCAGGTGCCAGCTCTCTCTCCTGTTGGGGGTCTCCAGCACGGTGTCCACTCTGCCTTGTTTATAGTTACACAAGTAGCAATCTGACCTCTCTAAATTAATTAGGAACAGGGTTGAACTAACAGTCATTATATTCTTTAAACCACTTATCACAATACCTTACATAGAGTCATTACACAGGATATTCCTTGAATCATACTAAGAAAGAAACAGTAATGAACAGCACAGAGAAGGAGGGGACAGGTCAGAGTAGTGCTGGAATGTCTCACAGATAGTTCAGATCCTAAAGGAGGTTTCTTCTCAGAAACTGTTCCCAGCTCATTCCTGCCTTTTAGATTAATGAGATTTTTAGTTTACTTGGCAAACTTCCATATGTTAGGTGATCTACATAGACACAAAGTCAAATCAGATTTGTGTTACTGCCTAAGGTCATTCTTTAGATTATTGCATCTCCCAGGATAGGGGTGTCTTCAGACAAATTTTAGCAGAGGTCACTAGTATCAACCAAATTATGAATTCTGGTTGAAGTGACTTTTCTTTAAATTTAAAACAATAATACATACATACATTTTTTAAAAAACAAATAGCTAAGACATATCTGTTCTACTACTCCTCATGCTCATCCATCTCTGTGAAGGAAATACCTTTAGCCACTTTTGTTTTATTCTCCTGGCTGTTACAGTTTTATCATTAAATAATTTGCATAGGTGCTTTTTTCCTTAATTTTTTTAAACCTTAAGAATTAGCTACTAGCTTTGTGCTATAATATCTACATTTATAAAGAATAAATATAAATTCTCATTTGGGATGAAAATTTTGTTTTCTTTCTAGTTGGTACTATAACCCTCTCTGACCTGTTTTAACAGTTAAATAGAGGTAACAAGAGGAAAGGGGAGGACAAAATTTATTTTAAAACTTACACTGCAAGAAAACTTCATAATTTAAAAGTACAGCTATATAAATTGTAGACAAACTCTAATCCACTGTTAGAAAAACCCATTTAGGTCTATGATATCTTTTACTTGTGTAACTACAGTTTCTGGAAATGCACTAAAAAGATGAAAAGGGTGAAATATCTGAGGTTTTTTTTTTTTTTGAGAGGGCATCTCTCATATTTATTGATCAAATGGTTGTTAACAACAATAAAATTCCATATAGAAGACTCAATGCACAATCATTAATCAACCCCAAGCCTAACTCTCAACAGTCTCCAATCTTCTGAAGCATAACGAACAAGTTCTTACATGGTGAACGAATTCTTACAGAGTGAATAAATTCTTACATGGTGAACAGTACAAGGGCATTCATCACAGAAACTTTCGGTTTTGATCATGCA